AGCGAAGTTGTCGCTCGCTAACTTTGCAACATATCTGCGAACAGCTCACCAGTGGATTTGTCCAACGCTTCTCTGTGGGTTTCCCAGCGTGTTATATTGCAGAATCGTCAACCAGCAGTTCAAAATCCCTGGATATTGGTAAAGGTGGGGAAATGGTCGCGGCCCATCCTGTCTGGAGCCGTGGTCGATGATACCAGAAGGTCCGTGGATAGAGGTACAAGGTCTATTGCATTCCATGAATCTGGTGGCCAGAAAAACGTAGGTTTGCCATCGATTGTCACACATAAGTCGCCAGCATCCGCAGCTGCTAGCAGTTCCTTGTCTCGAAAGTCTACACTCTTATCTCCCCAGAGTAGATGGTGCACGTTAAAATCACCACAGATTATTCGAGGAGCGGGACATCAAGTGCAAAGGTCCTTTAATAAAGCCTCCATGAAGACCTTCTTTGTGGGCTTACGTACACCAATAGTACACTCAGTTTTCGGTTTCCCAGGCACACTTGCACAGCAGCGACTTCCAGTGAGTTGGAACAGAGGTCTTGCACTGGTAAGGCGACGTGAGGTATTTCCCGCCTTATGTATATCGTTGCGCTTCCATTTGCAAATGTCGTTATGCTCGGGTTGCCATGCCGGATGTACCCAGGGAGCGTCCTTGCATTCGGGATACCGGCTTCTGAGAGGACTATAACTGGTATTGGAATGTCGCGCAGGAAAAGGTTGACTTCGCACAGACGTTTTAGAAGACGAGAGCAGTTCCATTGCATTATTAAGGGCACTTTTAAAGGACAGAATAGACCAGGTGGGCGAGACATTGCCATTATTCTACTGTGTCTACGTGGAAGCAGAGCAAAGTAACACTGACTCTAGAGCCAGGACTGCTTCCAACATGTCCTTTGTTGAACTCACAGGCATCTTAGCATGTGTGCTTCCAGGTGGTGCATGAGATGTACTCAGTGCATCAACATAGGTGCGCTTGACGGACTCTTTCGTGATTCATTTCTCACCAGCGTTGAGCCCTTGCGTTGACTCGGCACCAGCTTATGTCGGATTTATGTGCGGAAAAATTTCTGCATACTCATTGTCCAAACCACCATGTTGTGGTGCACCGGACGTCTTCTTTGTGAGCGATAGTTCGTTCAGTCTTCGGGCCGAGGACAAACATCTTATTTCTTCGCGATGTGGTGGCGTCTCCACATAGTCTACAAGCTAGTGTCTGGGGAAGCCAAGGTGGATTTTCTCTGGGCGTTCCGAATTGAGAGGGAATGTGAGAACCACAAAGTCAGTGCGCCTTGATTCCCATTCGGAGGATGAGGTTTGGACCCGTCGTATAATTCTTCTTGCATGGTGTACTCCCTGAGGTCTCAGGTAGGTTAACAGCTCTTCGTCCGGGTACCAACTTGGGACTCCTTTTATAATACATGTATTTTTTATATAGCTGTGTGGTACAAGGGCTGATATGGGAAGGCCGCAGATAGTGTTGGTCTCTAGAAGCATATTAGCTTGGTGTTCCGTCTCCATATCCAACAGCAGGGCTCCCTGTGCTGTGAAATGGCTCTAAACTGGAGCTACACCAAGAATCATTTCAAGTTCAGAGTATAGGACAATAGGGTTCACTTGCCTCAAGTTATGTCCTTCGGATGTTGGAGCAATTACTACAGGAATGCCCACCGTCTGGTCTTTGCGATGTCGCCCAAGCCGCAAACTACCCTCATCCATGTCGAGACCTGTGAGGTTCACCACGTTGTGGTCCCCGATGACAGTTGATTCGTCCTCCGATTTAGCGCTGTGTTGTCGCATGCAGTCACGTATGCTTGCGCAAACCAGCTGGTGCTTCTGACCTGGTGTCACACCTTGGAAGGTCATTGCGGTGCTCTCACTGATGCTTGTTTTGGTTCTTCTAGCAACCTTCGACGCGGCGGGCTGCGCAGCATCTATCGGTTGCCGATACGGTAGGTACCTTTTCGTGTCGTCCGACGTTTTGAGCAGTGCTGAGCCGTAATATAAACAAAAAAACGATAAATACACACAAAGCTACTTAGACAAGCAGCAACAGCTTCGTCGTCTTCTTCCTTCCTCCTTGAGTGGGTAGAACGAAGAAGAATTCTCTTGATTCCAAAAAAATTGAGTGAGAATAACAATTTTTGAAATCAAGGGAATTCTACTTCGTTGAGGCTGGATTTCCCTAACGTAAATTCAAAAAACAGGTGGAGTTCCCCAAGGAACAGTCTTATCTCCAGTAATATTCATTGTTTCATTGAGTACAATTTCAAGAGAACAGAAAGTTATTGCCTACATTTATGCTTATGACATTGCGTTCTTCGCTGCTCACTGTAATATACACTCACTACAACTTAAATGGAAAAATACATTATTATGTCAATAAATGTCAACGAAAGCGCGCTCTTGGTGTTTTAGCTTGCAAACACAGTTTCAACTCTAATACTATTCACGGAATCCCATTCAGCAAGTAGACTCTATAAAATATTTGGGAATAATTTCTAAAGAAATGCTTATCTGGAGCCCAAACATAGAGTATGTAACTGCTAAGGCACAGCGGGCCTCAGGCTTATAGCACAAGCTGTGTAACCGTAAATTGAGGTACGGACACACCTTCGTATTGTTCTGCAAGATGCGCATGTGCCCAATCCCGGGATTCGGATGCATATTATTTTCGGGTGGCCCTGCTTTTAAAACAAAACCCCTGGCTGACTTGGAACGAGAGACACTGCGAATGTGTGTAGTACTCCCCAGGCTTGTGACTATCAATTTACTGTATCGAAAGCATGCCTGCGTGCACTACTTTGTTGATTTCGAATTTTGACAGTACAAACATTATAAATACTTTACATCATACGGGCATGAAGATCGCAATATACTTTTATCTCAGGCCCAGACGCCTTCTTTCTTGCTCATTGGCTATGGTTTCACACACCCCAGATGATGTTTGTGCAAAAACTACAGAGTATAAATGTGAACATTAGAAATGTAATTGCGAATAATGACCCGAATTGTAACCTTATAGACTAGTAAGATAATATTTGCTCCAAAAAGTGAAGTTGCAGTCTCTCAAATCTTTAAATATCATATTATTAAGTTGCCTGGTGAAATTAGAAACAAAGAATACAATAGCCACATATGCTTCAGTGAACAATCAAAAGTCAGGTGTAGACATTGCCTCTGATTTACTTGACTGGTCCTTCTTAGTGCGACTGCCTCATTTTACTTCGATTTTCGAAGCTGAGCTCGTGGTGCTTATTTTAGCACTTCGAAAACGTTCGTCAAATAAAAACAGCGCAGTCATACTGACAGATTTTTTTCAGTTTGTGCAGCTCTGACAGCTTCTGAGAACTTTCGAACTCTGAGGACATTCCGAACATTCGTGCCACCGAAGTTGAGACACCTGAGGTTACTTTTGGCTCCAGGACACTGCGGTATAATATTAAATGTACTGGCTGATTTCTTAGCACGGGCTGCTCTTGATGGCTCAACATTATCCGTACTGCCGTAAGTTGAATATATTGCCGCAATAAGATGTAGAAAATCATCCATCTGCACTGAGATGATAGAAACAATATATACATAGACAGTATATACCACCTCAAGTTTCTATGGTGGCCCCAGTGAAGTCAGTACAGAAAGCTCGATGTTTTCATTACTAGATTTCGAAGCCGTGTCCCCCCCTCTTAGCTTATTTTTACACAAAGCTGGTCAGGTGATATCACCCTTCTGTGTATTCTGCGGAAAATTAGAAACGATATAACAATATGTTTTATCTTGACGCTGATACTATATACTTGTAAGAAGACTTCTAGCTATTTTCTTTCTGACAATAGGTGTTAGACTGATGGCGGTAACCGTACTTAACTTTGATGTCGCAGTTATGAGACATTGCCACAGGGGTGCTTTCAATGCCCTTTATGATTTTATTCGTGCACTCAAACGAATTCCATTCTAATAGACAGACAAATTTTTATCATTGTGCGTCATCAAATGGGGTTTTAACATGGACTCTGAATGATTAGGTGAAGCAGACGCAACTGCGTGGTCATCTCAAAACTTCATATCTCAAAATCTCTCTAATTGACTTTTCTTTTTTCCCCCTTTTCCTCTTCTTTTCTGTGGTTCCCCATGCATTATTTATATTTTACTACAAATTTATTCTTACCCATAGTTGTTTTGCTCACAGAAAAAGTACTCTATGATTTTTCGGCCAATCCCCCTGAGTGGGTATAACTCATCATCTCAAGGAAATAAACAAACACGCAATTAGCTAATCGCCAAGAGTGGGTACGATCCACTGGTTTTGTAGGAAAAACAAACGAATTCCTTTATACTACACAAAAATAATGATGATTTAGGGCGTAGTGGGTACTCTGCGAGTGCTTGAAGAGGTTACCGAAAGAGTGTTTAGAAGGGTTCTCAAAAGCTTTCTTGCACGTTTCGCTGTGTCTGTGCTGCGCATTCCACAAAGATGCTGGTTTTCTTTTGTTTATTCAGTACTTCCGCTCACGCGTAAACAGTGTACAGATGTCTCTACTATCTTCCCTGGCACAGGTACATTTTCCCAAAATCTGTGAGATTCAATTTTTTAACATTATACGGGACTAATGAGTTGGATTAGAAATCGTGCTCTTCTAAATGTCACCTGTGTAACTTGTCTTAAATATGAGCCTTCCTAAATAGGGAGCACAGAAGAGTAAGGCATGGGTGGATTTGTGTTTACTGTTCCACCAAGACATCAAGAGAGAGTCATATTACGTATTCATCAAAGACAATATCCAACTAAAATGAATGGAGGCCTTCGAAAGGAGAGCCCTGAAGCAGACAAGTTCACTTATCAGACAAGTCCAGTTATCGTAGCGCTTACGACGGATATTTCGTAATCGGTGAGCATGTATATGGATCGAGGCATGCGCCTTTCTGAAGAGTTCCATGTTTGCTGTACAACAACATCATATTGAACTGAAGTGTGGCATATAAGAATGTTAATAGTAGGTTTACCTTTGTTTTCGTGGACAACCGCGAGGACAAGGACACACCATTTCATTACGTTCAGTTGCATGGTGAGAATAAGCAGTGCCTGGTGATTCATACTAATACATGCATTTATAGAAGCCATCAAGTGTCCTTTCAGTATATATGCACTTCAATATTCAATAAGTAATCTGGTATTTTTATTCCACAGTGGCTATATGCAGAGACATAAATGACATGACAAAAAACGTCAATATATATATATATATATATATATATATATATATATATAAGACGTTATCTATGCCAAGTTATGGCATATAAATTTCAAGAAAGAAAGCATCGGTCAGGACGGTCAGTGCAGCGAATGTCACCTCACAACTAAACAAAAATTCACCATCACTTTGTCAAGACTGAACGTGAACAACCTACTGAAAGCTATCTTGAGTCGCAAATTTCGCACATAAAATAAAGTTCTGTGTCTAACTGCCCTAATATGTCGCCTACATGGTCATCCCATGTTTGTTTTCGCGTCTTAGCTTGGTGTATCACGTTTGCTTTAGAACATTTGTTTGAGAAAGCCTAACCTCCAATTTGCTTTGGGTCGAAGTGGTTTCTTCATAATTTCCAGCTGTCTTTTTTCTGAGAAGACCTGAATTTTTTATTATACAATGCTGTAAAAGCGTAATCAATAGAGTAGGTGCCATTGCTTCAAAACTTCTCGAAGAGTCATGAATGGAAGCAGGACAGTATGAAAATTCTGTCAGCTCACCTACAGTGTCTTGAGCAAATGAACGGAATCCTCAATTCAAATCATGGGTAAAAGCCACCTGCAGCGATCTGCTTCTCATTCGTCTTTTTGTTAACAACGAATCCGACATCTAACAGTAATGATGACTCCCAAGTGCAATTTGTCATTGAATACAGGTTTGAAGAGAAGGTATAATTTTTTCTAGGTCTTGATTCACCTAGTTGGTTGTTCATTAATTGGCAGCGGGACCACACAAAAGGAGGCAGCGAATCACTTATGGAATCCTGGCAATGCATGTAACTATACCAGGACTTCAAAATGGTGATTAAGCGGGCTTGTTATTCTCACGGACAACTTTTCTTGGCAATGAACGAAAAGGCACAAAGACGCAGCTTCTGCACATGCACCGCTAAGCGATGCAGTTCGGTAAGACATGCGCTCCGTACCACTGTAAAAAATTGCAGTATATTCACTGAGTGAACGATGATGAGTTGGGTGAGTCTTCGAAGGGTTGTATCGGTAAACTGTGAATCATCCGTCTGTCCGTCCGTTCATTCTTCTGTCTGTGTGTATGTCCGTTTGTGTGTGCGTCTGTCAATCTGTCTGTCTGCGCACACGTTCATGCGCCATCTGTCTGTCCATCCATCCATCTGTCTGTCTGTCTGTCTGTCTGTCTGTCTGTCTGTCTGTCTGTCTGTCTGTCCGCACATGCTCAGTGAGTCGAAGAAATAGGCGGTCACGTACCACGAGCTAGGAGGGACCGACCCACGGCTTCAGGAGCTTCACCCGTAAAAATGATAGCTTGCGTGACCAGCGTTTTATATCGACGCAGACAAAACCTTGCTTTAGAGGTGCACTTTAAAGGGGCGACTTTTTCACGCGTTCAAAAACGCGAAGTGGCAATGATTATATCAAAACACATACAAATATTTTACTGGTGTGAGCTGCGGCCTGTGTCAAATAGCTACCTAGAAAAATTGTAGGGAGTACTTTTCCTATCTCATGTTGAAAATAAAGCACAGCTGTACACTCTTAGTCTTGTTTTATATACGTTCAGATAAAGCAGTCGGTAACTGGAACAGGCAGAGTTATTTAAATCACAGCTATTTCACAAGTGTTGTCCGGAAAAGCAGCTGTTTATAGTCGGGCTCGAACCCAGGTCCGCTGGTTGCCAGCCCAGTAATGTACCACTTAGCCACGCCAGTTCTTGGTACTTGTTGGGAACATTGCCTTAGGCAGGTATGGTTTCGGGAAAGCAATCGCGTTATACGACTTATAAAGAGCTTGAAGACAATGGAAGAACTTCCAGTTGTCGCACAATCTGAATAGCGTAACAGATAGGTCGTCTAATGTTCCAACACATTACAAAAGCTTCTTCTAGTTCACCCCTTATCTGTGGCGCATACCCACTTCAGACATTATTTTCTATCGTCGTCACCCACTGCATGAACAATTGACTCAGAATTAATTGCAAGTGTTTAGCGGATGCCATGCTTCTCAGAAGATTGACGAAAAATGTCATAGCAAGCGCCGGCCTAGTATCCAAAAAATATTATTAATGTCATAGTGGGTACCAAGCAAGTGTGCTTGCAGCATTCACACAACAAGTGTTTAGAAAAGGCTTTCAAAGGCTTCTCTTCTGGCTTTTGCTCTGACTGTGCGGCGCCTTCCGCGCAGGCATTGCGTTTTATTTTTGCTTACCTACGTGAAATGAGACATATGTCATCGAGGCCTGCAATTTTTGCGGTTAAAAACTAGCGTTTTTTCATGATTGTTCTACTTACAATGGCAAAGGGACACCCAATACGCATCGCGTGTTTCTTTTAAAATAAAAATCCAGTTTTTAAAGCTTACGCGCATCGGGCAGGTCATCCCTATGAATCCCTTCATTGATTTCGAAGCCACGGAAAAAAGCACTCCCTACACGCGGCTGGTGTTCATGAAATAATGACTGCAGAGCCTCCAGTAATCTTGGCAACGGATGTTTCTGCAAAAAAAAAAAGAAAGCATGTCCGTGCACTCTCACCTACACTCTCTTCACTGGCAGTGCGTTTGGTGGTTATGGAGGTGATGAGTGCTATAGGTCTACAGGCAACGTGTGCCATTTGTTTCGCTCGTGAATGTGCGTGGTTTTCCGGAGCTTTGTTCCTGTTCCTAAGACAATTCTGGAGGCTCTAAAATTATCGTGAACAAGTTTGCCGGTGAGGCTTCAGACTACTGATTTCGCAATCGCTTCACAGAGGTGATTGGCGACATTCATGTTGCTTATAAATTAGCGGCAACGTAGAGGCAGTCTTTGTCCCATTTTTTATTTATTTTACTGCCAACCGGTTATGCAGCTTGCGTTTTAAGCAATATTGGTTTATTGGGAGGAGAATATTACCTTCTGAATATGCACACACAAAGTACACAACGCAACAGCCGCATTTTTATCAGTTTTATCTTCACACTTGATACTCAGGGTTGAATTTTTTTATGATGCAGAATAATGTAGGTATTCATCTAAACCAAATTATACGACCGACAGTAAAATTACGTAGCTTTACTGCCACTTTTAATTATTTTGCTGCCTATGTATCGGTGCTAAATGGCCTTGTATAAGAGCGCAGTTGTTTCCATAATCAATTAAATGCTTTCAATTAGAATTTTCAAGCACATTGAGCGCATAAATGGGTCAGTTTTATGGTTATCTCGAGGCAAAATTGTATGCCAATTATGGTTAACATATCTGATATATCTGTCATAGCTTAAGTCAGGCATGTCAGGATTATGTTTCTGTATATATTACAGTATACCTGAACCTGTAACTCAGTTGTTATTATTCAGTATACTATGACGAAAGCATGATAGGCATATTTTAGTAGAGCACAAATACCGGCATGTTTCACAAAAACATACCTGCATAGTAATGCAGTAAACCAACTGTTTTTAATGTTTTTATTGCCACCCGCATTTACTTTTTCCTTAGTTTCATGCACTTTTCGTCCACACAGCCTGTCTTTTTGAACAATGAGGTGCAGTTTGCACTGAACAGTTAAGTTGTGTGATTATTGTAGCTCCATCTGTTAAAGTTTCGTTGAAGACGTGAACGCTCGAGATTGCTCCAGAGATTTTACAATGGCCAGTGATAAGGCTCTAATATTCGACTGTTCATGTATGAATGCAAACTCGCTTCGTCGCTCTTCACTTGATCGAAGGCCGACGCTCTATCGCCGCTACATGTAGTGATGTGTATTATGGTAATCTGAGTTTATCTTTATTGACCGCAATTTCGGCTTATAGTTTTATTTTGAACAAGTTGTGTGAGCCTTCGTAGACGTCACGAGCCCGTGACAGTATTATACTGAGAAACGACGAACGAATGGTTGTCTTTTTTCCGTTTCTTAACACTATCGCCACATTGCGGTTTTCCGCAGAACTGACTTGCCATACTTGTGTCTGTGTCTTATAGTTTCCTAAATGTACACTAGAGAAAAGTTTGGTGCTAGCGTATATAGGAGCTGCAATGCACGGCATTTGAGCAAGCACGGGAATGTTGGGTATTACACAGATTTGTGTAATCTTCGTACTTTTGGCATCATTTGTGTTCGTGTGGCTTTGATTGATTGATTGATCTGTGGGGTTTAACGTCCCAAAACCACCGTTTGAATATGAGAGACGCCGTAGTGGAGGGCTCCGGAAATTTTGACCACAAGGGGTTCTTTAACGTGCTTCGTGTGGCTTCGAGGTACTTTGTCACGAAACAAAAATGAGTGAATGTTCAGTGGTTGCACTTCACCATCTCACTATTTCAGGCCTACCATTTTAAATCGCGTACCAAAGTTCAAAATGGTTCGTTTTTTTCCTGCGAAACGAAACCAAAACACAGCCATGAATGAAGCCACGAGTGCGATTTGCCACCCTCAAGTACTAAAAATAGGCAAGTCCATGTACTACCCGTCATGCCCATGGTCACTGAACGATCGCAATGCCAGAATAACCTATAGTTAATATGAAGAAACTCTAAGGTCTATGTGGTTTGCGCTGTCGATGAAGTCGCATCGCGCTGTCAATTGCTGACTTCCTGGTTAGCTCAGTTGGTAGAGCCACCGCCCCAGGAAGGCGTTGGTCCAGGGTACGAATACCAGACCAAGACGAATTTTTCTTAACTAAGAGGCATTTCTTTCTGAGAAGTCCATACGGATTTCCTTGTAGCTGCGTGCTAGAAACGAGTGGTTGTCTTTTTTTTTTCTTCTTCTAAACCCCTCTGCCACCATGCTCGTCTCCACATAACCCGTCTGTAGAACAGGGTAAATCCTCTTGGGGCTCTCCAGTCAATAGCCTGCATTCTCTCATCGTTTTATTATTACCACTCGGCTCCGCC